GATCTGATCTACTGTGTTTCTGGTTTCTAATTCATTGATCTCTGCTCTAATCTTATTTCTCTTCTAATGCGTGGCTTAGGCATCGTTTGTTGATTTTTCTCTAGTTCTTTAGGGTGTAGAGTTAGTTGGTGAATTCAGGATTTTTCTATTTTTTTGAGTGAGGCTTGGATGGCTATGTATTTCCCCCTTAGGCCCGCCTTGCAATTTCATTTTAGAACATTTCTATCACCCTAGAAAGTTCCCTCATGCCTGTTCAGTCACTGCTTCTACCCCCCGAGTTGCAGGCAACCACTGATCTGCTTTCTGCCTCTATATTGCCTTTTCTGGACATTTAAAATAGTCCACGCAATAGGTCGTCCTTTAAAAAAAGTCTATTTTGAGGGGCGCCTGGGTGGCTCAGATGGTTAAGCGTCTGCCTTTGGCTCGGGTCATGATGCCAGGGTCCTGGGATCGAGCCCCACATCGGGCTCCCTGCTGAGCGGGGAGCCTGCTTCTGCCTCTGCCTCTGCCTCTGCCTGTCTGTCGCTCCCCCCTGCTTGTACTCTCTCTCTCTGTGTGTCAAATAAAAAATAAAAAATCTTAAAAAAAAAATCTATTTTGAAATGTTTTATTTTGAAATAATTATAGACTCCTAGGAAATTGTAAGAAAAAAAATGGTAACGGAGGGGTTCCGTGTACCCTTGCTCCAGCTTCTCCTAGTGGTAGCATCTAGCATCTCATGTACCTAGAGTCCAATAGCGAAACCAGGAAATTGACATCAGTACACTCTTGAGACCTTACTCAGATCACAGCAGTTTTACTTGCACTCATGTATATGTGTGGTTCTGTGCTGTCTTATCATGTGTATACATTTATGTAACCACCACCTCGGTCAAGACAGAGAACTGTTCCATCACACACAGGAGCTCCCTAGTGCTCCCTTTATAGATGCCACCCCTTTGTAGCCAGTCCCTGGTCCTGAACTGTGGTAGATACTGATCTACTACTGTTCTCCAGCGCTTTAGTTCTGTAAATAGTTCATAAAGTGTTTTTGAGGTTGGTTTATTTTTTTCACTCAACAGAATGCCCTTGATTGTTTCAGGTTGTTTCATGTATCAGTTTGTCCTTTCTATTGCCAGGTGGTATTCCAGGGTATGAGATACCACAGTTTGTTCCTTCACTCACCTGGGAAAGCTCTACATTTGCATTGTTTTTTTCAGTTGTTGGCTGTTACATAAAAGGCTTCTCTGAAAATTTGTATAGACGTTTTTGTGTGGATGGAGGTTTTCATTTCTGTGGGATAAGCGTCCAGGATTGCAACTGCTAGAACATATGTCCTGTGTTTGGCTTTATAAGAAACTGCTACACTGTTCTCTAGAATGGATCTACATTCCCCCCGGCAAAGTGTAAGAGATGCAGTCTCTCCCTCCCCTCATTCGATGCTGACATGTTTTTGTACTAGCTGTTTTCGTAGTTGTGTAATGATCCCTTATTGTGGTCTTGATTGCATTTCCTCAGTAGCTGGTGACGTTGCACGGCTTCTCATAGGCTTGTTGCCCATACAGATAAGCCTCCTGAGATGTCTGTGCATGTCCTGTGTCCATTTTCTAGTTGGATTGTTGGGTTATGTTTAACGACTGAGTTTTGAGATTTCTTTATGTACTTGAGATATAAGCTCTTCGTCAGATATCTTGTTTGCAGGTATTTTCTCCCCATCTTTAGCTTGTCTTTTCATCCTCTTCTGGTGATCTTTCACGGAGCAGAAGGTCTTTAATTTTGATCAAGTCCAGTTTCTCGATATTTAAAAAATATAGCCTGTGCTTTTGGTGCTGTAAGAATTCTCAACCTTGCTCTACATCATAAAGATTTTCACCAGTGTCTTCTGTGAAGTTTTACATTTAAATCCACAATCCAGGGACACCTGGCTGGGTCAGTTGGTAGAGCCTATGACTCTTGATCTCGGGGTTGTGAGTTTGAGCCCCACATTGGGTGTAGAGATTACTTAAAAATAAAATCTTCAAAAAAATCTACAATCAATTCTGAGTTAATTTTTTAAAAAGATTTTGTTTATTTTTAGAGAGAAAGCACTCAGGGGTAGGGACAGAGGGAGAGGGGGAGAGAGATCCTAAGCAGACTCCATGCTGAGTGCGGGGCCCAACGTGGGGCTTGATCTCACAGCCCTGAGATTACGACCCCAGCTGAAACCAAGAGTCAGTTGCTCAACCAACTGCACCCAGGTGCCTCCATTTTGAGTTAATTTTTTAATAGGCTGTGAAATTTAGATTGAGGTTCAGTATTTTGCCTGTGTATAATCCAATTTTTGAAAAGATTACTCTTTCTCCACTGAATGGCTTTTGCAGCCTTGTCAAAAATGACTTAGGTATACATGTGTGGGTTTATTTCTGGGTGCTCTTTCTCTTCCCTTGATCTCTTTATGTGTCTCTCCCTCTACCAGTACCACAGAGTCTTGATTACAATAGCTACATAGTAAGTCTTGGGCTCCAGCAGGCTGATTCCTCCGACTTGATTCTCCTTTCTCAAAATTGTTTTTTAAACTATTGTAGTTCCTTTGCCTTTCCATATAAATTTTAGAAAGAACTTGTCTATGTCTATAAAAGATCTTATTGGCATCTTGATAGGAATTAGGTTAAACCTGTTTATCAATCTGAGGACATACTTAGCATAGCCTTGCTATGTCTCTGTTATGTCAGGTCTTCCAATCCACAAATACAGTACATCTCTCCATTTATTTAGGTCTTGATTTTTTTCTTTTTTTTTTCCTTTGGATCTTGATTTCTTTCATTAGCATTTTATATATTTTTTTTAACATTTTTTAAAAAAGATTTTTTAAATTTATTTGACAGAGAGAGGGAGAGAGCACAAGCAGGGGGAATGGCAGGCAGAGGGAGAGGGAGAAGCAGGCTTCCCGCTGAGCAAGGAGCCCGATGTGGGGCTCGATCCCAGGATGCTGGGATCATGACCCGAGCCGAAGGCAGATGCTTAACAAACTGAGCCACCCAGGCGCCCTAGCGTTTTATATTTTTTATCAGAAAAGTCCTGTATAGGGACGCTTGGGTGGTACAATTCTCCAGTGAAATTGGGCCTGGAGTTTGCTTTTTGGGGAAGTTTTAAACTATGATTTAATTTTTTTTAATAGTTACTAAACTATTTGAAGGATATTTTTCATATTGGGTGAGTTTTGGTTATAGGTAATATTTCGATCTTGTTTTTTTCCACTTAGTGTAATGTTTTTGAGGTTCATCCATGTTGTAGCATGTATTGGTGGTTCCTCTTTATTACTGAATAGTATTTTATTGTATGGATATACTTCTTATTTATCTATTCATGGACATTTGGATTGTTTCCACTTTTTGACTATTATGAATAATGCTGGTAATTCTCAAACAAGTCTTTGTGTGGACATACGTTTGCATTTCTCTTGAGTAGATGCCTGTGAGTTGAATTGCTGGGCCATGTGGTAGGTTTAGATTTAACTTTAAAATGCTGCCAGACTTAAAAAGTGGGTATGCCATTTTCCATTCCCTTGAGCCGTGTGTGAGTTCCAGCGTCTTCACATCCTTGCCAACACCTGTCTGTCTTTTTTGTTATAGTCATTCTAGTAAGTAGATAGTGGCATCTCGTGGTTTTATTTTGCATTTCTTTAATGACTATTATATATAGATAGATACTGTGTATATCTGTTATGTATGTAGCACATGCTTATAGGCTGTCCTTTTATTTATTTATTTATTTTAAAGATTTTATTTATTTATTTGAGAGAGAGAGAGCACGAGAGGGAAGAGGGTCAGAGGGAGAAGCAGACCCCCCGCTCAGCAGGGAGCCCGATGTGGGACTCGATCCCGGGACTCCAGGATCATGACCTGAGCCGAAGGCAGTCGCTTAACCAACTGAGCCACCCAGGCGCCCCTGTCCTTTTATTTTCTTAGTTGAAAAGCATATTCAGTTATTACACTCAACTTTTATTTTATTTTTTTTTTAAGATTTTATTTATTTATTTGAGAGAGAGAGAGAAACAGTATGAGAGGGGAGAAGGTCAGAGGGAGAAGCAGGCTCCCCGGCTGAGCCGGGAGCCCGATGTGGGACTCGATCCCAGGACTCCGGGATCATGACCTGAGCCGAAGGCAGTCACTCAACCAACTGAGCCACCCAGGCGCCCTACACCCAACTTTTAAATTGGGCTGTTTGTTTTCTTATTACTGAGTTATAAGAACTCTTTATATATTCTGAATACAAGTCTTTTTTCAAATATATGATTTACTATTTTCTCCTGGTCTATGACTTTATGGCTTGTCTCTTCATTTTCTTAATGGTGTCTTGTTTAAAATCAAGGGGTGCCTGGCCAGCTCAGTCAGTGGAGCATGTGACTCTTAATCTCAGGGTCATGAGTGCAAGCCACACATGGGGCATAGAACCTACTTAAAAAAAAAAAAAGCAAAAGAAAAGTCAAAGTTAAAATAGCTTTATCAAGATATAATTGACATGCAGTGCACAACACATATTTGAAGTGTTCGGTTTGTTATGTTTTTGTATATGTATACATTCGTGAAATTATCACTGCAATCAAAATAATGAACATATAAATCTGTCACCCCCTGACGTTTCTTCACATTCCTTTGTAATTTATTCTAACCACTTCTCTCTGCTTGTCCCCACCCCCAGGCAACCACTGATCTGTTTTGTCATTATAGATTAGTTTGCATTTTCTGGAATTTTATATAAATGGAATCAAACAATACGTAGTGGGATTACTTTTGGTCTGGTTTCTTTACTCAGCATAATTATTTTGAGATTTGTCTATGTTATTACAGTAATTCATTCCTTTTATCATTGAATTGTATTCCATTTTATAGATAGAACAGCACATCACTGCATATTACCCTGTTAACTCTCCAAGAATACTGTTTTATTTTGAACTCTCATCAGTGGTATATGAGAATGCCTTTTTTTTTTTTGGAACCCACACGAGATGCTCTCTTTCCTTATTTTATCTTTTGCCAATATCATGTACCATAAAAGCTATTTCAATTTGCTTTTATTTATTTATTTATAAGATTTTATTTATTTATTTGACAGAGATAGAGACAGTGAGAGAGGGAACACAAGCAGGCGGAGTGGGAGAGGGAGAAGCAGGCCTCCCGCAGAGCAAGAAGCCTGACGCGGGCCGATCATGAGCCGAAGGCAGACGCTTAACGACTGAGCCACCCAGGCGCCCCTCAGTTTGCTTTTAGTGTATTTGATGACCCTTTGTGTTTTTCCCTTGGGGCATTGCGCATTTTTCTCTTCTTTTTTTTTTTAACTGATTGTGGACACTCTTTATATTAGAAGGTTAATCTTTTGCCTGTCACATGTTGATATTATATTTTCCCAGTTTGTAATTTGCCTTTCACTTTTGTTTATATTTTTTTGCCGTATGGAAATTTTAATAGGTTTGGTTTATGTTTTTTTTTAATAAAGTGGAATTTATCAGTGTTTTATTTGCTGCCAGAAGTATCCTTTTCTTTAAGAGAAATATGCTTTATTCCAGGTTTATAAAAATATCCACCTACATTTTTTAGTAATATAGTACTTATGAGAATGTAAGCTCCATGAAAGAAGGGATCTTTGCCTGACACATAACACACATAACAGGGGCTTAGCATACTTAGTGAGTGAATGAATTGAAAATTTTTACAAATCACCAATTTAATCAATATGTATTAATCATCTACTCTGTGCGTAGTAATAATTTGCTAGTAATTTTATCACAGAATATGTGATATGTTTGCTTTCCTTAAATGTTTGCAGAAAATATTTGTGGAATAATGTAGAAATCATCTCATATAAGTAAAATTAGAAAACTAGTTTTCAAGTGTTTTTGCTTATGGCTTTGGAGGAGGGAGCTCCTGAGCAAATTTTTAGCAGTGAATAATGGTCTACAATTTAAATGAAATCTTCATCATTTCAAGACCTAACCTAGTTATTTGGATAGCTACTTTACCTTTTCTAATGTTTTCTGTTTTTCAACAGTTTACTTTATCAAAATGCATAGATGCTGTGATGGTACTGGGAAATTCTCATTTATTCATGAATCGTTCCAACAAACTTGCTGTGATAGCAAGTCACATTCAAGAAAGGTATGACCTTAGTGATTACTCTACCTATTCAGTGCTTAACATTTGTGAGGTTTTTATGCCAGTCAGCATGTACTATTCCTTTTCTGTGTTGCAGAATTTTTTTTTAATGTAGCATTGAGTAAGACTATCAGCATCAAGAATCAGTACATGTACATTTTGATAGAAATGAATATTGGAAACCTCATTAGCTGGTATCTGATAGATTTGCATCTTGTGCACATGTAACTTACTCAGGTTCAACCATACGGTAGGCAAAAAACAGGGAGAATTATCAAGCAAGGCTGGCAGCTCCTATTACTGTTCTTTGCGTGAGTCTGCCCCAGGTGGGCAGGTGAAATGGGAAGTGTGATTCTCTTCAGGATGGGTGCATAGGTTTGCAGCTGCTTTGCAAACATGACCATGTATATGGTACATATTTTCACCATATTTACTTTTCATGTATACGCTGACCACAGAATCATATTCTCCATGTAAGACACGGCTCTTCTATGTCTTGATTAAATGTCACATCTTGGTAGAAGTGACTCTTGTGTACCAGCGTATTTCATATGAGGTCAGTTGGTAGTTCTCAAATATCTCATTTCTTAGGGCTGCTCTCTTTGGTGTGTTGAAAGAGCCTGTGGGCCACCAGTTAAGTGCTCCTGCTCCCATGATCACCATACATTTTTCTCAGAGTTGAATGAAAAAGATGATACCGATTTGGTTAAGACATCAAAAGAAAAACTGTAAAAAGCAAAGTATTCCAACTTTTAGAAAAATCAAATATGTGTTTTTACAGGATTACTATAAAAATCATGAAGCCCTAGGAGAATCTTTTCAGGGACCCTTGGAGCAGATTTTTATTACTGGGGTAGATAAATATACCTCAAATAAAAAACTGGTCGTAAGTTAGAATTTGGTCTGACTCTCTTCCCAGTTGGCATCTGAGAAAGTAGAATGAGAACGACCCTGAAGCATTTCAAGAGACTGGGACCCAGCATACACTTTTATTTCCTCTCATTTGTTAGAAAGCAGTGGGATCATTAAAACATTCTCTGGTGGTAGACTCATGTTTGCCAATTTGCCTGTTTTATACATTTCTTAAAAAAATTTATTACAGAGTCTTGTGAGGCAGAATTGGTGTGGTTGGTTGGTTGTTGAATTTCATCTGAATGTTGAGTGAGGACAGAGTCCTGGTGTAACTCAGTGTTTTCTCCCCTCACTGTTTCAGTCGATTCTTATATCCTGGAAAGAATGGCAGACTTGGAGACTTCTTTGGAGAGCCTGGCAACCCTTCTTCTGAATTCAGCCCCTCAGGGAGCAAGGACGGGAAATATGAGTTGTTCACAGCAGCGAATGAAGTTATTGCTGAAGAGATTAAAGATCTCATGACCAAGAGTAACAGCTTTCTTTCTCCATTATTATTTTACAATTGCAGTTGCATGTGGTGGTCCTTGAGGCTTTAAGTCCAGAGATTTGGGGTTCCTGAGAGATTTACTTGTGTTCTCTCTCTTCTTTTGTAAAATCATTTTCCTCAAAGCCTGTGCCTTGTTTGCTTGCCTCGCCAGCATCTCACGCTGTCCACCAGCCTGTACTTCTTGAAACATACTCTTAGCATCTCAGGATATCCTTTTGACTTGTTTTTCCTCTGTTTTTGGACCATTCTTCCATTTCTGACTTTTCTTTCATCTTGTCCCATAAAAAATAGGCTTTTTAATTCCGCACATTATTTTCTTATTTTTTTTCCTCTGTGTGTTTTCATCCACTTGTCTTTAATTATCATTTCTATGTGAACACTTCCCAGTCTTTGTCTCTAATCCAGCCTTTCTTTCACCAAGTGTCTGCACGTAGATGCCCCATGGCGTGGCTCACGCGCCCAGACCAGTTTCCTTATCTTTCCCCCCCAGCTGTACCACCATTTCCACTCCTAGTTTCTGACACGCCCATCCACCTACTTTTTCAAATTCAGAGCTTTCATTTTTGACCCCTTTCTGCTCACATTTTTTTTTTTTTTTTGCAGGTGACATAAAGGGTCAACATACAGAAACACTGCTGGCAGGATCCCTCGCCAAAGCTCTTTGCTGTATCCTTGGTGTTCTAGTTACTCAGAAGGTGGCTTCTGAATATCTTAACTTGTGATAATTTTTAGAACCTTGGGTGTCCATATTAAGGAAAATCATGAATATTCTAAAGTGGTCGGTAACCAAAAAATAGTTTATCTTGGCTTTGGAATATTTTTTTTTTTTAATATTTATTTTATTTTTTTAAAGATTTTATTTATTTATTTGAGAGAGAGAGAGAATGAGAGACAGAGAGCACAAGAGGGAAGAGGGTCAGAGGGAGAAGCAGACTC